AAAAAAAAAAAAAAAAAAAGGGGGGGTGGGTGAAAATAGATTTTTTTTTTGGTGGTGGGATAAAAAAAAAACCCAAAAAGCCAGCCAGGCAGCCCTGGGGGGGAAGGGGAGCGGCGGCGTGGTGGTGGTTGTGGGGTGATGAGCGAGGTCCAGCGCGGCTGTTTTGATCAAAATTTCAAGAGTTTTTGGTGCATCTCGGCGCGTCCCTACGGGCTCTGCGAAAGGGGAAGGGGGAGGCGCCGCTGGCGGGTTGTTGGTTGAGGTGGGGGATGAAGCGGCTGCTCCCCGGGAGGCATCGGTGGGTGGTTGGACACGCTTTGGTGGTGCTCAGAGGGACGGGCAGCGTCCGGCAGCGCTGCCTGCAGGGACAGACGCGGCCCCCCATCCAAATTTCCTCGCTCCGCCGCGCTTTAACGTGGCGGCCTGGCTGCCCTCGGCCGCTCCGCTGCTGGCCGAGCCTAGGAAAGAAACCCTCCCGCTCGCTGTCAGCCCGGAGCCGGGGCGAGGGGCGTTTTTACACCAACACTCCTTTATTTTTCCAGCTCGGCCGCGGTGTCACCGCTCTTCCACACCAGCGGAGGAGGCCGAAAACGCTCACGGCAGCGGCGGCGGCGCGAGCTTTGATGCGATGAGGGTTTGCGAGCGGTGCCGGTGTCCCCGAGGGCTGGCTGTCACCCAACGCTGGCGGGACCGTGGTGGCTTCAACCCGACCCTGCCAACCGGGGCCGGCCCCGGTGGAAACCAAGCGTGCCGAGCCGGTACGGTCGGGGAGGTTCAGCCTTTATTGGGGTGGGGTGGGGGGAACCCGTCAAACTCCTCGGGGTACCTGAGATGTGCTTAGCAGTTTCTTACTGACCTGCGCCCCATCTGCTTCTGTTTTCAAAAGGTCAGTGGAGGAAAGCTGGTTGCAGTAAAGGCCCGTGGGTCTCAGCGCCGGGTCATTTACCTGTCAAAAGCAAGATCCAGGCTCAGCCAAGGCTCCTGGATGCTGGAGGAGCACTCGCCGCTGTCTCGTGCTGAGTTTTGGGGGGAATTTGGGGAGGGGGCACTCATGGATGGGGCAGTGCTGGGGGGGGGTGCTGTGCTGCCAGCATCCTCCCTGCACTGTGAGCTGCAGGGTTTTGGGGGAATTGGTGGGGGGATCCCAGTGGGCAGCTGGGACCTGTTTCACCTTTCTCCCCACCTCCAGCACCTTTTCCTGGGGCTGCTGCTGGCTCCGGGGGCATCTCCCCCCCTGGGAGCATGAAACAGCACCCAGCTGCTCAGTGAGAGGGCCCATGCACCAGCCAGCTCAGGGGAGGGAGCAGGCTCCTCCCTCACCCAGCCCTGTGGCTCCTCCCCGGGGAGGCTGCAAGCCCCAGTCCACAACATCCCAACAGAAAACCAGCAGGCCAGAAGCTTAAGGGCACCAAGACAAACCCCAGCAGCTAAAAATGGTGTAGGGGTCTCTCTCTCTGGCTCAGGGAGGATCTCGCTAAAGGGCCGGCACTACGGAAAGGTCCCACATCCAACCATTCCCATTCCCCATCCCCAGTTTTCACAGCTCCCCGGCTACAAACGGACCCTCCACCAGCTCACCACGAGGGCTGCAGGTGCTGGAGATGCTCGGCACGTCCCTGCACCCCCCAAGGACAAACGAGACACCCCAGGGTGCCGTTGGCCTTGGGTTCCAGCACAGTGGCAATGCCAGCAGAGGCAGCCAGACCTTTCCTGCTTCCCCCTTTGGACAGTGGTGCCAGAAAAAACAAATCCTGAGCCCCTGGGAGCATGAAACAGCACCCAGCTGCTCAGTGAGAGGGCCCATGCACCAGCCAGCTCACGGGAGGGAGCAGGCTCCTCCCTCACCCAGCCCTGTGGCTCCTCCCCGGGGAGGCTGCAAGCCCCAGTCCACAACATCCCAACAGAAAACCAGCAGGCCAGAAGCTTAAGGGCACCAAGACAAACCCCAGCAGCTAAAAATGGTGTAGGGGTCTCTCTCTCTGGCTCAGGGAGGATCTCGCTAAAGGGCCGGCACTACGGAAAGGTCCCACATCCAACCATTCCCATTCCCCATCCCCAGTTTTCACAGCTCCCCGGCTACAAACGGACCCTCCACCAGCTCACCACGAGGGCTGCAGGTGCTGGAGATGCTCGGCACGTCCCTGCACCCCCCAAGGACAAACGAGACACCCCAGGGTGCCGTTGGCCTTGGGTTCCAGCACAGTGGCAATGCCAGCAGAGGCAGCCAGACCTTTCCTGCTTCCCCCTTTGGACAGTGGTGCCAGAAAAAACAAATCCTGAGCCCCTGGGAGCTGGGTGACCGTTCTGGGAGCGGGGATGGTGTGGGACTGACCTGCTCCGAGCACATGGAGTTCATCCCGGGCATCTGAAGCGAGTTCATCTGCATCTGACCGGCCATGGGGTTCATGTTCTGGACGTTGGTGTTTCCTCCCGCCATGGAGACGGTGATGCTCATGTTGTTGTACATGCCCTGCTGAGCAGGCGCTGGCTGGCTCTGCCCTGCTTGGCTGAATACGCTGAGAGACAGAGAAAAAAAAAAAGTGTTACCCGGGCGTTTGTGGTGGTGGGAGGCACCTTGAGGTGTGTGTTGAGGCCCTGGGGTGGCCCCGAGGCATCACGGCAGCCGGCCGGCCTCTGGCGAACACCAAAACCACCTGCAGCAGGTGGCAGCCCTGGGAACAGGAGGGACAGGGAGGTGTTAGGGGTTAAGCAAGGCTTAGCCAGGGTGAAGGCTGGGAGCAAGGGAGGTGGCTGCTGTGGAGACATCGCCCTCCGCTCCTGCTCTAGCAAGAGGCTGCTGGGTGTGATGGGGTAGAGCAGGAGGGCCACCAGTGCCAAGAAAGGGATGGTGACAGGGCTTTGGGCTGGCTTAAGATGCAAAGCCCTGGTCTATGTCACACGGAGCTCATGCTCCTTCCAGTGCCCTCAACAACTGATTTTCCCCACTCCTGCTGCAAGCAGGACAGTTCTCCAGTGCGAGGCAGGGGGAAGCACCCCAGCTCCAGCAGCACTCCCATCTCATCCCACCCAGCCCAGGAACCTCCTGCTCCGTGCTGCTTGACCAGGACAGGTCAGCTGAGCTATCTTGATAGACCCAAGACGCAAAGCAAGGCACTTCCCAGGTGAGCTTTTAGGTTGTTTTTTTTAGTTTGTTTCTGGAGATTTGAAGCTCAAACCTGACTCATGCGAAAAAAGCAACAAGCCTGGTGACTTCCTACTTGCTTTGCTACGTCAGAGCTGGACACGTCTTGAGTATGACACAATGACCTGGGACTACTGGTCTTAATTTATCATCATGTTTCCTAATCCTACTTTCTCCAGGCATAATTAAGCCACTCGTGTAATTACAAGCCAAAGACCTGCTTCACGTCATCCTCAACACCCGTGCTCATTCATTTAAACGCCGCAGGTTTCCAAGCCAAGACGAAGACAAGGACCTGGGTTGATGGTGACTTCTGGAGGACATCACGCTTGGAGGACACGGCCTGAGCTCAGCACGTGTCCTCAGCCAGGTGCCACCTTACCCCTGCCAACAACCTACCAGGGGACCATCACCTCAGTGTCACCTTGCTGCCTTCTCTCCATATCACCCGCCTGCCCCAGGTTGTCCCCCCCATGATCTTACTTGCTGTTCCCCATGGCTCCTTGCTGCCAGGTCTTCATGTCGGGCGACTGGTAGCCCGGTGTCGGCGGTGCCGGCTGCAGCATGGGGCTTTGTGAAGGCGGGAGCTGGGGTGACATCAAGGGGCTGCTGGGGCTGAGCGACGGAGCAAAGGCGGGTTCGCTTTGCTGACCCATGCCTGGGGAAGGACAGACACGTCAGCGGTGCCCAGACCCCCGCCAGCAGTCCCGATTCCCTCCTCCTCCCTTGCAACTGCTGGCATCAAACCAGAAGCATCAGCCATGAATTTTGGTCTCGGGGTCTCTGCTTTTCATTTCAAGCAGCTGCGTAGCTCAAATGCAAATATTTAAAGGATGAAGGAGTGGGGAAAACCGCCCCCCCCCAAGTGGCTTCCTTCAGCAGGTGCTCCTCTTTAGCATCACACCCGGCTGGAAAATAGCCAGGGCCATGATGAGAAGATGCCAGAGCAGGTTCCTGCAGGGCTATGGCAGCCACACCGCAGTTTTCTCTACTCATCCCTAAAGTCCACCTTGCTGAGACCCTGCACTGATGCTTCAACATGAAGGCCTTCATGAACTCTGCGTGGGCTCACGCATCTCACGGGAGCTCGGCGCCCACACGAGCCTGCAGCTCATTTCAGCCATCTCAACAAGGCTCTGGCCTTTTTTGGGGCATATATATTTAGGGAAACACAATTTAGAGGACCATCTTGCTGTTGGATTTTCAAGAGTTAAGGAAATTCTTTTCAAGGAAAAGAGTTCAAGTTGCCCAAACTTTTAGCTTTTTTTTTTTTTTTTGAGATGCAACCAGAAAAGGTCCCTTCGGAGGTGGAAACCAGAGACCAGACCGGGACGCAGGCTGGGGGTGATGGCCAGGATCAGGCCCCGGGTGATGGGCGAGCTGGGCTGGGCTGCAGCATCCTCAGGGGGGTGGGTCTCAGCTCTGTCCCCCACCTCTCCCTCCCCACCACCAGACAGTTTCCCATCCAACCAGCTGCTCGACGTACCTGATCCCGAATACTGAAAGATGTTCTGCTGCATCTGCGGGGTCATCCCGGCGCCGAACTGCCCTCCGACGCCGCCCATCATCCCCCTGTTCACCATGCTGCTGCGGTTAGCCAGCGCGGCCTCGGGGTTGGATGCCAACGGCGAGAAGGGGCTGGTGGAGGTGGGAGGGTTTCCCGGGGTTGTACCGTAGTTTGGGGGGTAAGGGAACTGCTGGGGGGGTGCTTGGGGCAAACGAGCGGCTCCGATCTGTACCGGGAGCCCGGCGGAGGGGGGGAGGTTGTTCCCGAAGCTCTGCTGTCTCATCAGGATGGCTCGCTGCTGCATGAGCTGCCGCTGCCGGTGCTGCTGGCTGTAGAGCTCGCGCTGACGCTGGGCCAGCATCTGGGCGTTGAGGGGAGGCTGTGGGGAAGGAGGGGGGTGCCCTAGTTATCACTGTTACTCTCCAGTTCTGGCAAACAGCTCAGAGGTGTCGCGGTGTAAGAGCCGCGGGTGCTCCCCTTCCCCGGCTCGGGTTGCCTGTCCTCGGTTTGCAAGTCAAGCCGGAAAAACCCTGAAATGCTGTAAATTGGCCTGTTTGTGCTGCTGCAGGGCAGCGCGGGTGGGAGATATCAAAGATCAGCCCTTGCATGTGCCGAACGGCAAAACTCCAGCAGCAGGAGCATCCCCCGAGCTGGGAAAATGGGCTCTCAGCCACCTGGCTGCCACCAACCACCCCTCTCCTCCGCAGGACCCACTTTTTGGGCCTTCACCGGGACGCTCCCACGTGCCAGAGCCCAGGATCCCCAACTCTGACCCTTTTGGTTGCAAGATGTTAAAAAAAACCCCAAACCAATCCCATGAACTTTTCCATCACCATGGGCTCGTTCCCCATATGGCTGAGGCAGAAGTGTTGGGATTAATCACCTTAAAAAGCCTGACAAAGCCATCAGCGGCTGAAATCGGAGCTACAATAGGAACCACTCGGTCCCCTTCCCTGTGACTAATGCTCCCCATGGCACATTAGGGATGTCACGCCGCTTCATGAAAAGGCAAAAGCTTCGCCGAGCAGTGGAATAAAATCACCAGAACTTTTTTTCCAAACGCTTTCCGACTTTTCTCCTCATCCCCAGCAGATGTTTTCACCACTTTATTAGAAGTCAAAAAAGAACTTTAGGGCCTGGGGATTTGCAGGATCATTAAGAAGATTCACTAGAGCTTCTGGTATTTAAAGGACGGCATCTATTTCCTAAAGATTCTTTTCAGTTAAATGCAACAGCACATCCTTCTCTAAGAAATGACAAAGTATTTATACCTTAAGCAGGTGAAGGAGGTGGAGTAAGAGTGAAGTGAAATAAACCCCCCCCCAGCAGCTTGTCTTGCACGTGGGAGCATTTTTCTCTCCCGTTAATGACAGAGAGGAGTAAGCCAGGCTGTGCTAACTGAGAGGGCGTGGGGATTAACCCTCAATTTTTCCCAGCTGGAAGACGGTGCCACATCCCCCTTACCTGCGGTGTGATCTGCTGCTGCATCCCTGCCCGCATGTTGATGCCCACTGGGGAATTGGCTGCGAACTGGTTGAGGATGGCCTGCCGGTTTTGATGGATCAGCTGGAGGAGAAAGG